ATGGGAATAAGTCAAGGATCCCAATGGGAATAAGTCAAGGATCCCAATAGGAATAAGTCAAGGACCCCAATGGGAATAAGTCAAGGATCCCAATTACCTGGAGTTTACCTGGAGAAAGTTCCGGGGGTCAACACCCCCGCGGCCCGGTCTGTGACCAGTCCTCCTGGTGGATCAGAGCCTGATCAACCAGGCTGTTACTGCTGGCTGCACGCAAACCAACGTACGAGCCACAGCCCGGCTGATCAGGAACCGACTTTAGGTGCTTGTCCAGTGCCAGCTTGAAGACTGCCAGGGGTCTGTTGGTAATCCCCTTTATGTATGCTGGGAGGCAGTTGAACAGTCTCGGGCCCCTGACACTTATTGTATGGACTCTTAACGTGCTAGTGACACCCCTGCTTTTCATTGGGGGGATGTTTACCTGGAGTTTACCTGGAGAGAGTTTCGGGGGTCAACGCCCCCGCGGCCCGGTCTGTGACCAGGCCTCCTGGTGGATCAGCGCCTGATCAACCAGGCTGTTGCTGCTGGCTGCACGCAAACCAACGTACGAGCCACAGCCCGGCTGATCAGGAACTGACTTTAGGTGCTTGTCCAGTGCCAGCTTGAAGACTGCCAGGGGTCTGTTGGTAATCCCCCTTATGTGTGCTGGGAGGCAGGTGAACAGTCTTGGGCCCCTGACACTTATTGTATGGTCTCTTAACGTGCTAGTGAACACCCCTGCTTTTCATTGGGGGGATGTTGCATCGTCTGCCAAGTCTTTTGCTTTCGTAGTGATGTGATTTTCGTGTGCAAGTTCGGTACTAGTCCCTCTAGGTTTTTCCAGGTGTATATAATCATGTATCTCTCCCGCCTGCGTTCCAGGGAATACGGGTTCAGGAACCTCAAGCGCCCCCAGTATTTGAGGTGTTTTTTTCTCCGTTATGCACGCCGTGAAGGTTCTCTGTACATTTTCTAGGTCAGCAATTTCACCGCCTTGAAAGGTGCTTTTAGTGTGCAGCATATTCCCAAGCCTAGATGGGAAAAAGTGACCTGAAGAGTGTCATCATGGGCCGGCTTTCCCTCGTTTTAAAGGGTTCTCATTACCATCCTGTCATTTTTTTAGCAGATGCGATTGATACAATGTTATGGTCCTTGAAGGTGGATCCTCCGACATGATCACTCCCAGGTCTTTGACGTTGGTGTTTCCTCTCTATTTTGTGGCCAGAATTTATTTTGTACTCTGATGAAGATTTAATTTCCTCGTGTTTACCATATCTGAGTAATTGAAATTTCTCATCGTTGAACTTCATATTGTTTTCTGCAGCCCCTGAAAGATTTGGTTGATGTCCGCCGGAACCTTGCAGTGTCTGCAATGGAAGACACTGTCATGCAGATTCGGGTGTCATCTGCAAAGGAAGACACGGTGCTGTGGCTGACATCCTTGTCTATGTCAGATATGGGGATGAAAGAAACAAGATGGGAGCGAGTACTGTGCCTTGTGGAACAGAGCTTTTCACCGTGGCTGCCTCGGACTTTACTCTGTTGACTACTACCTCTGTGTTCTGTTAGTGAGGAAATTATAGATCCATCGACCGACTTTTCCTGTTATTCCTTTAGCACGCATTTTGTGCGCTATTACGCCATGGTCACACTTGTCGAAGGCTTTTGCAAAGTCTGTATATATTACATCTGCATTCTTTTTGTCTTCTAGTCATCTAGAACCTTGTCGTAGTGACCCCAATAGTTGAGACAGACAGGAGCGACCTGTTCTAAACCCATGTTGCCCTGGGTTGGTAACTGATGGGTTTCTAGATGGGTGGTGATCTTGCTTCTAGGACCCTTTCAAAGATTTTTATGATATGGGATGTTAGTGCTCTCGGTCTGTAGTTCTTTGCTGTTGCTTTACTGCCCCCTTTGTGGAGTGGGGCAATGTCTTTTGTTTTTAGTAACTGTGGGACGCCCCCCCGTGTCCATGCTCCCTCTCCCTAGGATGGTAAAGGCTCGTGATAGGGGGCTTTTTGCAGTTCTTGATGGGAAAACGGAGTTTTCCATGAGTCTGACCCTGGGGCAGAGTGCATGGGCATGTCATTTATCGCTGATCAAAGTCATTTGGCGTCAGGATAACATCAGATAGGCTTGTGTTAACCAAATTCTGTGGCTCTCTTTATAAAAAAATTCATTTTGATCTTCGACTCTCAGTCCCGGTTTGTGGCTTGCTAAAAACTGAGTCATATTGGACTTGAGTACTCACTCATTTCCTTGCTGTCATCTTTTGTAGGACCCATCTTGTTTAAGTAAGGGCCCAATACGGACGTTGTTCTCGACTTTGATTTGGCATAGGAGAAGAAAACTTTTGGGGTTTTTTTCGATTTCATTTATGGCTTTTAGTTCTTCCGCGATTCCTGGGCTCCTATAAGATTCCTTTAGCTTAAGTTCGATGTTTGCTATTTCTCTGACCAGTGTCTCCCTACGCATTTCAGATATATTGACCTCTTTTAGCCGCTCTGTTATTCTTTTCCGTCGCCTGTAAAAGGGAGCGCCTGTCTCTTTTTTATTTTACATCTACTCCCTCCTTTTTCTTTGAGAATAAGCCTTGTGCATACATCGGTGCCACCAAGTTAATCTGTTTCTAGGCATAAGTTGGGGTCTGTGTTGCATAGAAAATCTTCCCAGCTTATATCGGTTAGGACTTGGTTTACTTGGTCTCGCTTTATGTTTTGTTATTGAAGTTGAATTTGGTGAATGCTCCCTCGTGACTAATCTCATTTTTTCGGTCTGGGGCTCCGCGATACATGTCTGAACCTCAATTATGTTGTGATCTGAGTATATTGTTTTTGATATGGTGACATTTCTTATCAGATCATCATTGTTAGTGAAGATGAGGTCTAGTGTATTCTCCATTCTAGTAGGCTCTATTATTTGCTGATTTAAAAATTTATTTTGCAGAGATTTTAAAAGCTGTGTGAGGGGGTGAGTTTTCATCAGAGCTGCCTCCTGGTGTTATTACTGCAACAATATTATTTGCTATATTCCTCCATTTTAGGTGCCTTAAGTTGAAATCCCCCAGGAGCAAGATGTTGGGTGCAGGAGCTGGAAGATTTTCCAGACAGTGGTCAATTTTTAACAGCTGTTCCTGGAATTGCTGGGATGTTGCATCCAGAGGCTTGTAGACTACCACAATGACTAGGTTTGGGTTCTCGACCTTTACTGCTAAAACTTCCACTACATCATTTGAGGCATTAAGCAGTTCTGTGCAAACAAGTGACTCTGGAATAAGTCAAGGATCCCAATGGGAATAAGCCAAGGATCCCAATGAGAATTAGTCAAGGATCCCAATGGGAATAAGTCAAGGATCCCAATGAGAATAAGTCAAGGATCCCAATGGGAATAAGTCAAGGATCCCAATGGGAATAAGTCAAGGACCCCAATGGGAATAAGTCTAGGATCTCAATGGGAATAAGTCAAGGATCCCAATGGGAATAAGCCAAGGATCCCAATGGGAATAAGTCAAGGATCCCAATGTGAATAAGTCAAAGACCCCAATGGGAATAAGTCAAGGATCCCATTGGGAATAAGCCAAGGATCCCAATGGGAATAAATCAAGGATCTCAATGGGAATAAGTCAAGGATCCCAATGGGAATAAGTCAAGGACCCCAATGGGAATAAGTCAAGGATCCAAATGGGAATAAGTCAAGGATCCCAATGGGAATAAGCCAAGGATCCCAATGGGAATAAGTCAAGGACCCCAATGGGAATAAGTCATGGATCCCAAATGGGAATAAGCCAAGGATCCCAATGGGAATAAGTCATGGATCCCAATGGGAATAAGTCAAGGATCCCAATGGGAATAATTCAAGGATCCCAATGGGAATAAATCAAGTATCCCAATGGGAATGAGCCAAGGGTCCCAATGGAAATAAGCCAAGGATCCCAATGGGAATAAGTCAAGTATCCCAATGGGAATGAGCCAAGGGTCCCAATGGGAATAAGCCAAGGATCCCAATGGGAATAAGTCAAGTATCCCAATGGGAATGAGCCAAGGGTCCCAATGGGAATAAGTCAAGGACCCTAATGGAAATAAGTCTGGAAATAAGGAACTCTGACGTTTTTGGGTTATCCTAGTTCTCTCTACACATATGCTGATATGTATGATAATCTATGTATTTGTGTATACCTGAATAAACTTACTTACTTACTTACTAATGGTACTTAGGTGTACCTGTACCTAAATAAACTTACTTAGCCCATTGACTTACAGCCATTGGGGGTCCTGGATGAACCTAATATTGGGCATTTTTAGGAATAAATTCTCGGCAAACTCACATAATTACCTATTGCTTCACTTAACTGTAATAATAATAATAATAATAATAATAATAATAATAATAATAATAATAATAATAATAATAATAATAATAATAACAATAATAATAATAAAAATAATAATAATAATAATAATAATAATAATAATAATAATAATAATAATACTAATAATAAAAATAATAATAATAATAATAATAATAATAATAATAATAATAATAATAATAATAATAATAATAATAATGATAATAATAACAATAATAATAATATAATAATAATAATAATAATAATAATAATAATAATAATAATAATAATAATAATAATAATAATAATAATAATAATAATAATAATAATAATAATAATAATAAAATAATAAATAATAATAATAATAATAATAATAATAATAATATAATAATAATAATAATAATAATAATAATATAATAATAATAATAATAATAATAATAATTTAGTGTTTTCATAAAATATTTAGGTCTGTTTTTCACAAACGCAGGTTTATTTCCATGTTAAACACTACAGTTATTAACAACTATATCATGTACTAATCAAAATTATTGATTTAGAACAAAGACATAACACAACAAAAATGAATAATAAAGGAGTATTTGATGAAAGAAAAGTTAATAATTGTTTATTTATGTAAAAATCATTGATTGATGTAGATAATACAAACCTGAGATAAGGATCAGCGTACCACCACAGCAGCACATGTCTGCTGACATGTCTGTCTGAGGTGTTTTATAATATTTATTTATTAACACCATGGCGCCAACTATTCAGAAGAAAATATTCATGAGGAAGCTCAAGAACAGTCAGAAGAATAAACTGAAATTGTTGAAAGTTAAAGAAAAAGAGAAAGTCTCTGTTGTTTCTGGTAAGATTGTGGTGAACGTGAGGCTCTTGATCCGAGGAGGTGGGGGTTATCCTTCCCTTCCTTGGATCAAGTTTAATGAGTTACTTTACTTAGGTATAGTTATACATAAGTATTGTTACGGAAATTTAGGTGGTTAGAAATGTACATGGTGACATGTAAATTACCTGGTTGACCCCAATGGAAACCAGGAACCCAATGGAAATAAGTCACTTTGTCTGATATTTTTTTGGGGTTATCCTGGCGGGTAATTTGCACTATTTATGATAATTGTACTTGTGTACCCATGCCTAAATTATACTTGCCGCCTATAAAAAATCCTTGGGATCATGTGACCCCTATGGATTTAGTGCTTCAGTGTGAGTAACAAAAATGTGCTTTCCACTTTTGGTTATCCTGCATTATTTTTCATGTGGAAAAAGACACTTATGTACAGTTCAGGACATTTATTAAAGGAAACATTTCGCCACTCGTGGCGAAATGTTTCCTCTAATAAATGTCCTGAACTGTACATAAGTGTCTTTTTCCACATCTTGTCGGTATCACCATACCATTTCCTCATTATTTTTCATGTTATATGTGATTTCAGTTGTAATCGTCCAGAAATGTGTAAAGTCGTAGCTGAATAAGCTTACTTTTTGCTTGATTTGCTAACCATAATGAGTTGTTGACACATAAAGACCCATTAAGATTGATTTTGTTGGAATTTTTTTTTTTTTTAATTTGGAGGGTTATTTACCCAGAACGACCCAATAAAGTCTGTCATTGGGATTGTCTTATTTCCATTTTGGTCATTTCCTTTTCCCCAGGATGCGACGCACAACAGTCGACTATTACCCAGGTACCTACTTACTGCTAGGTGAACAGGAGCAACAGGCATGAGGAAACCTGCTTGACATTTCACCTGTGTCAGACTCTATCCCTGGTCCCTCGGTGCCTGAGATAATGGCGCTTTCAACTGAGCCAATTGTATACCTTATTGAGCCCTAACTCCTGGAAGTTCGGGAAAAATATGCTGTCCAAACATGGGTGGGATTGAGAAAGAAAATAAGGTTTCCTCCAGAAAGGGAAACGGCTACACAATCTTTCTAAATCTGAATCTGCTATTTTGATTTTTTTTTTCATGTTTAGATATTCTCAGTACATGTATTCTAAATTTTATATTTCTTGATACAAATCCAAGCATTTGAAGCATCATGAGTGAAAAAAAGGCAAATTAATTAATTTGGGGGATACAATAAGTCACTTTGCTTTTTTTTTTTTTTTTTTTGTTATTCTAGGTAATTTACACTATGTATGATAATTGTATTTATATGTACCTCTGCCTAAATAAACTTAATGTTTTGATTGGAAAAGTGGCAGAAATAAAGCACCAATAATGTGTGGTAAGTAATCTTTATTCAGGTTAAATCTGCAGATGTTTTTTCAAGCTGCTATTTTGAGTTTAATGCTTGCCTTAAGCTCATGGATATAATAGGGATTTAGTTAAGATAAATTAAGATTGTACAGTAGTGAAAATTGTCTACAGGTACGATACATATTTTTTCTTTGCCAGAGGAAAAGTTACCTGAGGATGAAACTGAAAGGTTGATCCACTGTCATCCAGTCCTCGGTAAACGACCTGCTGGAGATGAACCTGTACCCAAAAAGAGTAAGTAATACCAAACATTCTAAGAATGTTATACAGTATACTGTTTTGGTTACTGATGAATTTGTCATGTTCATTGTCATCAGTGTGCATTGATTCATTTAGTGGAAATCATTGTCAAATTTTTGTGTATAGCCCTTGTGGCTTAGCGCTTCCTTTTGATTATAATAATAATTGTGCTTTAAATGGCAAATTTATGTGATCACAGGTTTTTTTGCAGTTCATTTGTATCACCCATATTTGCTCTTACAGTTAAGTTATAATGTTTATATGAACTGTCTAAATCTTTGAGAGTCATTCAGTGAAAGAAGTAGTGGAAGATCTAGCCTTGATCTTCTTGAGAGAAAGCACCTGTTTCCTCATGGATTGTATTGGTAAACAACTCAATATATTAAAATTCTAATTATATTCTATTTACTGTTTATTCTGTTAAAATTCAGTAAAGGCTCCAGTGCTATATCATAGTATATTTTTTGTAACCATGGACTTGGGTAATCTTAAGCCAAGTTCCTCATGATTAATATTTATTTTTTTCCTTCAGAAAAGAGGAAGAAATTAAAGATTGTAGAGGAAACACTGGATGCTGGAGCTGATAATGAAGTCCAGCCTGAAGCACAACCCAAAGAAATTAAGGTGGCTCTCACAGAAAACACAAAGATGAATGAATCTCTTGAAGAGAAGGAAATGGATAAAAGCAAAACAGAAAACAATGATGAAGAGGATGAAGGAGAGACTGGCTATGAAAGTGAAGAGGGCAAAAATGGTTAGTAAAAAATTCTACTCTTATTATTATTGGGAGTTGTCATGTTATTGTGGGTTCGGTGTTTGCTGGTTATTTTGATGACATTTATATGCTCTGTATTACTCTTGTGCACTTGATCTTTCTCCTTTTACAGGCTTTTTCTCTTTTATCACCTGATTGATGTTAGGAACTGGTTTAACATACATATTTGCACACTAATAATAGTTTCTAGGGACTACTTTGAATATATAGGTTTACTTGTCACTGTGTGTGTGAGAGACAGAGAGAGATAGATAGATAGAGAGAAATGAAACACTTATTTGACATCAAAACTGTGATCCATTTGTTTTCTCTTTACATTAATGCATTTAATTTTTGCTCTTCATTTTGTTTTTTCTCATTTGTTTCACAGGGAACATCTTTGTGGGCTCTTTCACTCCTTCAGATAATATAAAGAAAATACACATAATAATGTGAAGTAAATGGTTTTAAAAAATGACAAGTTGAAGTAACACTTGTGCAACATTTGGGAATTTTTGTGGAAACGTTTCTTCAGCCAGTGGCTTCTTTAGTCCAATACAGACAAGAACGGTGAAGATGATTCTCAAATGTTGTACAAAGTGTCTCATTCTTCAGCACAGTAATACCCTTATTTTTCTTCTCTAGGTACTAGCACACTTGGGTTTGATACAGCAACAAGCAGATCATTTGATAGTCTTCGCAGTGTTATCTCTGATGAAACCATGAAAGCCATCGATCAAATGGGGTTCACAGAAATGACAGAGATTCAAGCCAAAGCTATTCCAAATTTGTTGGAAGGACGAGATTTACGTGGAACAGCCAAAACTGGTGCCGGCAAAACCCTGGCTTTTATTATTCCTGTTGTAGAATTAATATACAAGTTGAAGTTTAAGCCAAGAAATGGTAAGCAAGGCCTCTCTTTATTTTTTCAGGATGCAGGTGAAAGATAAATTATTATTGCACAATATTAATATACCCCTGCATATACTACTTGCACACTTGGCCCTTGCTCAATGGCTTAGGGACAGGTTACAAGGTTCATTAAATAATTTGCATTTTCTATGGACACCCATGTTGTAACTTGATATGTTGACTGTTTAAGTAATATTTTATATATAATTCCTATTTTTTTTTTGGGGGGGGGGGGGATTGGGAATGTAAATGTGTATCTTCTTTGGGTCACCCTACTTTGGTGGGACATGGTCATCAAGGTTAAAATTATGGGAATTGGTCACAACAAAGGGATAGACAGCTATTTCACATGTGCAAACTATAATATCAGTAATTCTAGTTATTGTTATTTAGGTACTGGTGCCATCATTGTGTCTCCAACACGTGAACTGTCCATGCAGACCTTCGGTGTATTGCGAGAAGTGATGCAGGAACACACGCAGACCTACGGGCTCATTATGGGAGGTGCTGATCGCAAAAGTGAAGCACTGAAACTAGCCAAAGGTAAAATACTGTATTTTATTATAGTTCATCACATTGAGTAATCTCCACAATGCGATGAATTAAATTTTTATGTTAACTTTTGGGTTTGTAATTTGTTTTTAATTTAGCATTTAATTACTGGTAATTTAGCATCTTGGATACAGTTTAAAGAAAGTTTCCTATTTTTGTTAATGATCTTTTAAGGGTTTTCTAATATTGCATGTGCACTGTGGGTTATTTTGGGATGTGAGTGAGTTTGGTAAATAGAATTTAGTAGGCATGGCAAGTTGAGGTTTGTATTATTGCTCTTATGTTTTAATTAAAAATTTCTCTCTACAGTAGTATACTTAAAATTTCTTTATTTTTTATTTCAGGAGTAAATATATTAGTGGCTACTCCAGGAAGGCTTATAGATCACTTGCAACACACACCACATTTTATGTATAAGAACTTGGTATCTTTGGTTATTGATGAAGCTGATAGAATCTTTGACGTGGGATTTGAGGAGGAAATGAAGCAGATTTTGCGAATATTGCCTAGTAAGTTTTTTTTTTTAACATGTCGGCCATTTCTCACCGAGGCAGGGTGACCCAAAAAGAAAAAAATCAGTGTACAGTATGTTTCCAGTGTATAGATAAAGGGAATTATTGCAAAGTAGGTTATAATTCATATTGTTGAGCCTCAATAGAGCCTTATAGAGGGGCCACAGATATATCAGATCACTTTCTAGTTGTAGCTACACTGAGAGTAAAAGGTAGAAGGGATACAAGGAGAATAGAAGCATCAGGGAAGAGAAAGGTGAAGGTTTATAAACTAAAAGAGGAGGCAGTTAGGGTAAGATATAAACAGCTATTGGAGGATAGATGGGCTAATGAGAGCATAGGAAATGGGGTCGAAGAGGTATGGGGTAGGTTTAAAAATGTAGTGTTAGAGTGTTCAGCAGAAGTTTGTGGTTACAGGAAAGTGGGTGCGGGAGGGAAGAGGAGCGATTGGTGGAATGATGTAAAGGGAGAAAAAGTTAGCATATGAGAAGTTTTTACAAAGTAGAAGTGATGCAAGGAGGGAAGAGTATATGGAGAAAAAGAGAGAGGTTAAGAGAGTGGTGAAGCAATGTAAAAAGAGAGCAAATGAGAGAGTGGGTGAGATGTTATCAACAAATTCTGTTGAAAATAAGAAAAAGTTTTAGAGTGAGATTAACAAGTTAAGGAAGCCTAGAGAACAAATGGATTTGTCAGTTAAAATTAGGAGAGGAGAGTTATTAAATGGAGAGTTAGAGGTATTGGGAAGATGGAGGGAATATTTTGAGGAATTGTTAAATGTTGATGAAGATAGGGAAGCTGTGATTTCGTGTATAGGGCAATGAAGAATAACATCTTGTAGGAGTGAGGAAGAGCCAGTAGTGAGTGTGGGGGAAGTTCGTGAGGCAGTAGGTAAAATGAAAGGGGGTAAGGCAGCCGGGATTGATGGGATAAAGATAGAAATGTTAAAAGCAGGTGGGAATATAGTTTTGGAGTGGTTGGTGCAATTATTTAATAAATGTATGGAAGAGGGTAAGGTACCTAGGGATTGGCAGAGAGCATGCATAGTTCCTTTGTATAAAGGCAAAGGGGACAAAAGAGAGTGCAAAAATTATAGGGGGATAAGTCTGTTGAGTATACCTGGTAAAGTGTATGGTAGAGTTATTATTGAAAGAATTAAGAGTAAGACGGAGAATAGGATAGCAGATGAACAAGGAGGCTTTAGGAAAGGTAGGGGGTGTGTGGACCAGGTGTTTACAGTGAAACATGTAAGTGAACAGTATTTAGATAAGGCTAAAGAGGTTTTTGTGGCATTTATGGATTTGGAAAAGGCGTATGACAGGGTGGATAGGGGGGGCAATGTGGCAGATGTTGCAGGTGTATGGTGTAGGAGGTAGGTTAGTGAAAGCAGTGAAGAGTTTTTACGAGGATAGTGAGGCTGAAGTTAGAGTATGTAGGAAAGAGGGAAATTATTTCCCAGTAAAAGTAGGCCTTAGACAAGGATGTGTGATGTCACCGTGGTTGTTTAATATATTTATAGATGGGGTTGTAAGTGAAGTAAATGCGAGGGTCTTGGCAAGAGGGGTGGAGTTAAAAGATAAAGAATCACACATAAAGTGGGAGTTGTCACAGTTGCTTTTTGCTGATGACACTGTGCTGTTGGGAGATTCTGAAGAGAAGTTGCCGAGATTGGTGGATGAATTTGGTAGGGTGTGCAAAGGAAGAAAATTAAAAGTGAATACAGGAAAGAGTAAGGTTATGAGGATAACAAAAAGATTGGATATCAGATTGGAGGGAGAGAGTATGGAGGAGGTGAATGTATTCAGATATTTGGGAGTGGACGTGTCAGCGGATGGGTCTACGAAAGATGAGGTGAATCATAGATTTGATGAGGGGAAAAGGGTGAGTGGTGCACTTAGGAGTCTGTGGAGATGAAGAACTTTGTCCTTGGAGGCAAAGAGGGGAATGTATGAGAGAGAGTTTTTACCAACACTCTTATATGGGTGTGAAGCATGGGTGATGAATGTTGCAGCGAGGAGAAGGCTGGAGGCAATGGAGATGTCATGTCTGAGGGCAATGTGTGGTGTGAATATAATGCAGAGAATTTGTAGTTTGGAAGTTAGGAGGAGGTGCGGGATTACCAAAACTGTTGTCCAGAGGGCTGAGGAAGGGTTGTTGAGGTGGTTCGGACATGTAGAGAGAATGGAGCGAGAGAGAGTGACTTCAAGAGTGTATCAGTCTGTAGTGGAAGGAAGGCGGGGTAGGGGTCGGCGTAGGAAAGGTTGGAGGGAGGGGGTAAAGGAGGTTTTGTGTGCGAGGGGCTTGGACTTCCAGCAGGCATGCGTGAGCATGTTTGTTATGAGTGAATGGAAACAAATGGTTTTTAATACTTGACGTGCTGTTGGAGTGTGAGCAAAGTAACATTTATGAAGGGGTTCAGGGAAACCGGCAGGCCGGACTTGAGTCCTGGAGATGGGAAGTACAGTGCCTGCACTCTGAAGGAGGGGTGTTAATGCTGCAGTTTAAACTGTAGTGTAAAGCACCCTTCTGGCAAGACAGTGATGGAGTGAATGATGGTAAAAGTTTTTCTTTTTCGGGCCACCCTGCCTTGGTGGGAATCGGCCAGTGTGATAATAATAAAATAATAATAATTTATCCTGTATCTGTGTTGAATGATAGAGAAAGTGTTTCTTTTTTGGGTCACCCTGCCTCAGTGGGAGACTGCCGTCGTGTTAAAAAAAAAATTCCATTGTAACATTTTTGATAATGCTATATTTTTTTTCCAAAATAGGAACACATTGGTTAAGGAAGTTAGCTTTTGTTCTTAAGAATGTTATATCATGAAACCAAATATAATTTTTACCCAAAAAATTTAATGTTATGTATAATTATTTCTAACAGTTGTATTTGATATCCTTACCCTCTTCTAGAAAAAAGGCAGACAATGCTTTTTAGTGCTACAAAAGACAGTCGAACTGATGAGCTGTCTAGACTTGCTCTGAAAACTGAGCCTATGGAAGTGGATGTTGATTGTAACAAAATCACTGCCACAGTAGAGGGTCTGGAGCAAGGTAAGAGGCAGTATGCTGTTTGTGTCAAAATATTTGTAACTGTTTAATATGATGCATGATATGTAGACCTGCATTAAATTTCAATTGGTTTCAGTTTATTGTGAAGAATAACCAATGCTTATTAGAGGAACTTTTAGGTAGTTTATATGTTTGATGTACCTCATCTTTCATGGGCTCACCTACTATCCGTCTTTGTATTCCCTTCAAGCTGACCTGTGATCGTTCAGTCTATCTGCTTCTAATTTTTCTCATTATCTTGCTTTTTTTCTGAATTAAATTTAGAACTTTGTTTTGAATACTCTTCCAAATTCCCTTACCGACTGCTGCAACATCTTGTCTGAATCTCCTGATACCACTCTCATCTGAAAAACTTAGCTGTGATAACTTCTTTATATCGGATTACTATCTTTTTTGGCCCACATCTCTCCCATGTGTATACACTAGTATTCATGCCATATACAGCCACATCTACAAACATACTAAACAATTGCAGCATCATTGTTAACGACCAACTCTTACTGGAAATCATTCTCCTTTTGTTCACACCTTTAGTGTGAACAAAAGGAGAATGATTTCACTTGCTGTAGTTAAGAGACTATATGATTAAAGTAGTATTTTGTTTTAGATCTGTAAGCTTTTAATAAAGACAAAACTGCTTGAAATAATACCAAAATATAGTGGATAATTATGTAACTTTTAATACTTTTATTCTCTTCCAGCTTATTTGATTTGTCCAGCAGACAAAAGATTCCTGGTGTTGTACACATTTATTAAGAAAAACAAGAAAAAGAAAGTTATGGTGTTCCTAAGTTCATGCATGGCTGTCAAGTTTTACCATGAACTCCTAAACTACATTGATCTCCCGGTGATGTGCATACACGTAAGTATTTTAGTCATGCTTATTCTTATGCTGGGTTATGTAGTCTCATTTGTGCAAATTTTCAAATGTTTACCTGTTCTTAGTTTGTGTTTTGTAAGCCTGTACCCTCCAAATAATATATACAGTAATCCTTTGCTCTATATGGATTCTCTACACAATTGAACTATAATTTGCAGTGGTTAGATTCCTGGAAACGATATGAATGTGGAAACCTCAGAGAGGGGTTTGTGCATCAAGAAAAAAGATGTTGGGGAAACTAGAAAGTTGTGAATACAAGAAACACCAGTTACTGTACAAAGTTCAACTGTCTGCAGATTGGCTATGTGCTATATTAAGTATTTTTTTTTTTTTCAACTAGTCGGCCGTCTCCCACCGAGGCAGGGTGACCCAAAAAAGAAAGAAAATCCCCAAAAAGAAAATACTTATGCTAAAAGGGTGGGTTACCTAAAGCAAGGTACACCTATTTTCTTTAATATTTATATTAGTCATTAGTACTTAAGTTTTCTGATACATCTATGTTAAGTTTTGAAAGAAATGCAATTCTTTTTTATTTAATAGGGCAGACAGAAGCAGGTGAAGCGGACCAACACATTTTATCAGTTTTGCAATGCGGAATCAGGCATCCTGCTGTGCACAGATGTGGCAGCTCGAGGTTGGGATATTCCTGCTGTGGACTGGATTGTACAGTATGATCCTCCCGATGATCCCAAGTAAGTGTTGTACACTTTTTAATCTCTATATAGGCATCTGGCTCTGCCTCTAAACTTTCATTTGACTGATGAGATTGAGCCCTGTCATGTGTATAAGAGTGTAGGCAATTATTTTTTGTTTAATAATTCTAGTAAAATTTGAAATACAGTGGACCCCCGCATAACGATGGCATCACATAGCGATTATTTCGCATACCGCTTACTTTAATTGCAAAAATTTTGCCTCACATACCGCTTAAAAACCCGCTTACCGATTTTCTTCCGAGACGCGCTCACATGTTCCGCCGGGTGGCATTGTTTACCAGCCAGCCTCCGCGGTAACATCCAAGCATACAATCGGAATATTTCGTATTATTACAGTGTTTTCGGTGCTGTTTCTGGAAAATAAGTGACCATGGGCCCCAAGAAAGCTTCTAGTGCCAACCCTGTGGTAAAAAGGGTGAGAATTAGTATGGAAATTAAGAAAGATTTTGAAGGGTTTGGGGCTAACCCTGAGAAGCCTATGCCAGTTGTGGAATCCATTGTGCCTACTTCAAAAATTAAGGAAATGTGTGCACAGTGGGTTGAACTGCAAACCTTTATGGATGAAAATCACCCTGACACAGCTGTTGCAAGCCGTGCTGGTGACTATTTCAATGACAATGTTGTGGCCCATTTTAGACAAATCGTAAAGGAACGGGAGGTACAGAGCTCTATGGACAGATTTGTTGTGCGACAGAGGTCCAGTGACTCTCAAGCTGGTCCTAGTGGCATTAAAAGAAGAAGGGAAGTAACCCCGGAAAAGGACTTGCTACCTCAAGTCCTAATGGAAGGGGATTCCCCTTCTAAACAGTAAGAAGATAATGCTCTCCCCTCCTCCCATCCCATCAATCATCACCAGATCTTCAATAAAAGTAAGTGTCATGTAAGTGTGCATGCCTTTTTCAGTTTGTGTGTATTAAAATTAACATTTCATGTGGTAAAAAAAAATTTTTTTCATACTTTTGGGTGTCTTGCACGGATTAATTTTATTTCCATTATTTCTTATGGGGAAAATTCATTCACATAACGATTATTTCGCATAACAATTACCCCTCTTGCACGGATTAAAATCGTTAACCGGGGGTCCACTGTACAAGCACTGCCTAAATGCCATCACTGGCATTTAGACACCCACCAGGAGGGAATGAAAATGTTAAACAAAAGTGATGTGTTTAATGTCTAACTAATTAAGAAAGTAGGTCTTCAGATATTGTTATCCTTCAGGTGCATTCTAATAAGAGACACTGGAATAATATCCGAGAAAATAAGCATAAGAAAGCCAAACCATTTTTTTTTCAACAAGTCGGCCGTTTCCCACCTAGGCAGGGTGACCCAAAAAGAAAGAAAATCCCCAAAATGAAAATACTTTCATCAGCATTCAACACTTTCACCTCATTCATACATAATCACTGTTTTTGCAGAGGCACCCAGATACAACAGTTTAGAAGCATATATAAAGATACAATATAAAAAGTGACCTGAAATAATTACAATATCAGGGCCCCAATTATATATATATACCATCCTATTACACATCCCACCAAACTGCCAATATCCCAAACCCCTCCTTTAACCCTTTGAGGGTTTCGGACGTACTAGTATGGCTTACGACCCAGGGTTTTTGACGTACTAGTACGCCTAAATTCTAGCACCCTCAAATCTAGTGGGAGAAAGCTGGTAGGCCTTCATATGAAAGAATGGGTCTATGTGGTCAGTGTGCACAGTCTAAAAAAAAATCCTGCAGCACACAGTGCATAATGAGAAAAAAAAAACTTTGACCATTTTTTTGGAATAAAACAGCGACTTTGCACTGTATTTTCGTATGGTATTTATTGTTGTATTCTAGTTTTCTTGGTCTCGTTTTATAGAATGGAAGACATATTACAGAAATTGAGATCATTTTGACTGGTTTTACAATGAAAGGTACCTTGAAATTGAGCTCAAAGTAGCAGAAATGTTCGATTTTTACCAAATTTCAAAAGTAAACAAATCGTGCCAAGCGTGCAATACATGTCAACTGGTGAGTCTAATATTCTTTCACAAGTGCACCAATAATATTTATACCATTTTTTACACTAATGCAGTAGTCTGCATAACAGTAAATCTTATATTTTTTGTGAGAATAAAAATTCAAAGTGGAAAGCAAAAGAATATAGGAGGGGCCTTGAGACATGACTAATGACCAGAGGAAATGTCATTTTAGTGCCAGGAATGTCTTTCTTGTTTATTCTGGACCCTATTCGGAAATTGGCATCTTTTGAAATTTGTGTGAAATTGGCAAAATTGCTAAATTCTGACCACTGTACTGGATAGTTGAATTTCATAAATGGGTGGTTTCTTGCACCCATTCGATAGAAAAAATGGAGTTCTAGCAAAATATTCATGTTTTTTGTCAACTAGTACAGTGGAATTGGCCGAAAATGGGGCTCAAAGTGGGCAAAATCGCCGATGCGTAAACATCGCCGAGACCGCTAACTTTGCGAGAGAATAATTCCATAAGTTTTCCATCAAATTTCAAACTTTTGGTGTCCTTATGATCGGGAAAAGATTCTCTATCTTTTCATAAGAGAAAATAATTTTTTTTTTTTTTTTAAATTTGGCCGACCCTGAGAACGAGTTTTGGAGAGGGCCTGTCGACCCTCAAAGGGTTAAAGTTCAGGCATTGTACTTCCCATTTCCAGAACTCAAGTCCGGCTATATAAAAATAACCGGTTTCCCTGAATCCCTTCACTAAATATTACCCTGCTTACACTCCAACACCTTGTCAGGTCCCAAAAGCCATTCGTCTCCATTCACTCCTATCTAACATGCTCATGTTAGAGGACGACCCCTACCCCACCTCCTTTCCCTATTTACATTGCACAGTATCATCAACAAAGTCTAGCCAGGTTGTGGGAGTGGCTGCCAAACCATTTATCATGGAATAATATCCGAGAAAATAAACATAAAAAAGCCAAACCATTTATCAGGATCTGCTCTCCATAATTAGGCCCTTCGAGGTTCCCTTTTTTTCTTTTAAGGCATTGACATGCCCAAGAGTTAGTATATTAAGTACCCTTCCTTGAATGTGGAGAAATTAGACTTAAAATTATTTTTTTTCTGATCCTTTATTATTACTATTACAATCGAAACTAAGTGCTAAACTCACAAGGGTCATACAGCACTAATTCTGATACTTTATATCTTCACTTGACAGGGAATATATTCATCGTGTGGGAAGAACAGCTCGTGCTGGTGGTAAAGGTCACGCTTTACTGTTCCTTCAGGAGGAAGAGATTGGGTTTGTGCGCTACCTCAAGGCTCACAAAGTTCATGTTGATGCAATGGACATTTCATGGAATAAAGTGGCCAACATCCAGCTTCAGGTTATGATTATTAAGTGTATTAGCAATTTTGTTAATAAAATTTGAAATACAGTGGTACCATGAGTTTCGAACTTAATTCATTCCAGAAGGCTGTTCAAGTGCTGATATTGGACGAATTTGTTCCCATAAGAAATAATGTAAATTAGGTTAGTCCTTTTCAGACCCCCAAAAATACACATACAAAAGCACTTACAATAATAAACTTACATAATTGTTTGAGTTGGGAGCTGTTCGAAACTCGAGGTACCACTGTATCAGCGTGTAGGCAATTATTTTCTTGTGTATAATAATTCTAAGTTTCAAATCTGCAGTTTAACTTGTAATTCTTTTTCTTCTCAGTTGGAAAAGTTGATGTCGCAGAACTACTTCCTTCACGCCAGTGCGAAAGAGGCATTCAAAGGCTACGTGCGGGCATACCACTCCCACCAGCAAAAGGATATTTTTAATGTTCACTCACTCGACTTGAAAAAGGTAATTGTCTGGCAGTAACATCGTCAACAGTGGTCCTCAACCCTCCTACACCAGTGGGCCACACTTGATGGTCAAATGTTTGATGAGGATCGCATGGTTTTGTAAAAATTAATTCATAATTTTATGCTAGGGCTGCATCTCCAGTCTGGAAATTTTTTTTTTTTTTTTAATAAAAAGTATTACAAAACTATTCAAAATAATATAGGTATTAATTTTTCCAAGAGTTTTATGCATGTATTAATTTGAGTTACATACTTAAATGGTCATTGGTTGTATCTATTAAGGTTTTGTATGTGACATTATAGGTTATATATCAGACTTATTGGACATAAAGTTGCATTAAGACCCCATGTACATATACTGCTCATATATGTGAAATTACTCCCACCTTTCTTAGCCTGTGCAATAGTTATTGTTTGATGCAGTAATCAGCACAATGATAAACCAAGTCTAACATTGTACAGGTTACCTGAGAATTTTAAAGGAAAAATTTCTGTTCTCAGATACAAAGACTAGGAGTCAACAGACACCTTCAAGGGAAATGCCTTGATGCTGGCAAAGGTCTCTTAATCCAAGGTTTTGGAGTTACTTCCCCCTTTTCTTGGATTAAACCTGATCCCTCATATTTCCCTGGTGCTTTATGACTCCAACGAGCTTTTTTATTCTGTATGAATATGATTTTTCTAAACTTGTGCTATCTTTTACTCAAGTAGGCTAACTTTACAAAGAAGAAAACACTTTCACTGTCAGTCATCCAATCACTGCCTTGCCAGAAGAGTGCTGACATCACAGTTTGTGTAAAGTCATATCCAATACAGTTGACAAGAGTAAGTCAGCTGAATTTAGTCACTTGACTGCAAAACCTCAGTAGTATTTAGAGTATTGTTGACTGGAATCTTCCCTCCAAGGGCATGGCTGTAAGAGAAAGTACTTTCATATAAATTGGAAATAATGTGCCACACATTTTTGGTTGAAAATAGGAAAAAAAATTGCAAAAGAGTACTATTTTTGGGAGTTAATTTCTATTTTTCTCTTACAGGTTGCAAAATGCTTTGGTTTCCAGGTCCCTCCATTTGTTGATTTGGGCGTTTCACCTGGAAGACGACCAGTCAAACGCGGTGGTGGAGGTGGTTATGGAGGAATAAACAAGAAGCAAGTGACAAAGACCAAAATCTTTAGGCAGTTTAAGAGCAAGAATTAATTGGATAACTGATTTTATGAGTAACATTAAAAAATAATAATACACTTTGTTTTGTTCTCAGTATCCAGCTTTATGTAATGTTAATTAGATATAGATGTACTACTTTGGTGTTTAGATATAACTATGCTAGCAAAATATTGTACCAAAATATTTAATGTCGGCAAAACTATAATTTAACTGTAATGTTAATGCTGAACACACAGTATTGTACTACTGTATCTGAGAACACATTTTTTCTTCACTCAGTACTAGAGTTTGAAGACAGTATTAAGGGACATTATCAACATATAACCTAAATAAAGCAACTGCCTTCAGTAATTTATCATTTCCCATAGAAATAATGACATCAAGTAGTTATTTATGAGAAGACAATCCTGTGACCCTAATGGCAGTGTTGGGGTTTAAAGGCATACAAAACGAAGATGAGTATAATAGGTGGTTCAAATTGAAGTCTGTTAGATTTATGCAGCCATAACCCTTCAGTGGAGGTAGAATCATTTTTGCCATGCAGTGCTGAGTAATAGGATTTGACCTTGATGTGGATATTCTAATAATTTGCCACCTTTAGAGATTCTGTAGTCAGTGTCTGCTCTTGCATTTCCAAGGTTTTGTCTTATGGACTCATGCTCATGAGAATTTTCTAGCACTACTATTGTTATTTCTATACAGCTATTTTTCCAGATCATGCTGACAAAGACACTTGCAGAAGTCTTGTTTTTTACCAGTTTCTATTTCTACTGCTGTGCACATTGCTACCATGTTATTTTCATATTAGTTTTATTCTGTTTAGCAAAGTACCCCATGCTTAATTCAACAATTAAATTATAGGTATGTCCGTAAATGAAAAATGACTTGCACACATGGTTAGCTATTATCCAGTTTCAGGTATCCGTGGTAGGTCTTGGAACATATCCCCCGTGGATATGGGGGTCCTACTGTACTGGGAACATGTGGAAGCATGTGAAATATGTAACAAAAAAAAAAGCACAATTCTGGTTATTTGTGTATGTGGAATATGCTGCAGAGTGAAAGAAAGATATGTGATGTAGGTTTTGGACTATGCCCACCAGCATCTTCCATGTGCTTATAATCACATATCATTCTTTCACTGCAGCACATTCCACATGCCTTCACGTGTTCCCAGTACAGTAGGACCCACATATCTGCAGGGGGTATGTTTCAAGACCTACCACGGATACCTGAAACCCTGGATAATGGCTAACCCTATATACAAGTCGTTTTTACATACTTATGATAAATTTAAATTGATAAATCATTATAATGTATTGAATTAGAGATAAGATAATGTCAGCAGCTGTTATCTTAAACTTCCTACCATAAGAGATATGCAAGGTTAAGACCCCAGAAGGCAGGTTCCTTGATGCTGGTGAGGGGCTCTTGATCTAGGGAATTGGATCTGTGCTCTGGTTCCCTGAATTGATCCTGAATGCCTTCCATTCACCCCATCCCCCAGGCACTGTATAATCCCAACAGATTTGGTGCTCTCCCCCATAATAATAAAGTAAGTAACTTTAGAAAAAGTTTTATGCACCTGGGGCTTGAATAAGTCCACTCCTTGAAGGTTCTTTGATATTGATGAGGGGCTCTTGATCTAAGGAATTGGAACAATGCTCCAATTCCTGAATCAAACCTGAATACCCTCTTATTTTCTGAGGCACTGTGTAACCCCTATGGGTTTACTGCTACCCATGAATGCAATAATTTTATAAGTCCAATACAGGCAATTATAAATGCATTCATATTGTGTTCAAACCACAGTTCCAAAGAGGCGATAACGATGAGTATAGTGATGGGAATAATAATAGTGTTTATTTTTACCAGTACATGATACAGCTTATACAGACTATAGTTGACATCAGTGACATACTATATAGAAAGTTCCTGGTTATGTAGAGCATTTCCCACAACTTAAGTTAATTTTGTCCTCAGGATGCCACCCACACCAGTCCACTAACACCCGAGTACCTACTTACTGCTAGGTGAAGAGTGACAGCAGGTATAAAATGACTCGTGTATGTATTTTTTTTTTCAACAAGTCGGCCGTTGAGCGTGTTAGATAGGAGTGAATGGAAACGAATGGTATTTGGGACCTGATGAGCTGTTGGAGTGTAAGCAGGGTAATATTTAGTGAGGGGATTCAGGGAAACCGGTTATTTTATATAACCGGACTTGAGTCCTGGAAATGGGAAGTACAATGCCTGCACTCTAAAGGAGGGGTTTGGGATATTGGCAGTTTGGAGGGATATGTTGTGTATCTTTATACGTATGCACTTCTAAACTGTTGTATTCTGAGCACTGCAAAAACTGTGATTATGTGCGAGTGAGGTGAAAGTGTTGAACAATGATGAAAGTATTTTCTTTTTTTTGGGTCACCCTGCCTCGGTGGGAGACGGCCGACTTGTTGAAAAAAAAATTACACAAGCTATTAAAATAACTTTATTAAAAGTGATAGCAAATATAAAAAAAAACTACTGTTTTTAATGATGTAATGTTTCATTAAGAAGGGATACCTCATTATCCAGGAAGGAATATATAATAAAGTGCCTGAATATATAATTAGCTGCCTGAATACTGCTCTGTGTTTACCAGAGACACATTAAGCACGACGATGCAGAGTTGCCATCAGTTGCTTAAAAAATATTCCAGTTCATCCCCCCCATCCCCAGTGCAGATGCTCTGTGACCCTTACTGGTTTAGCACCCGGTTATGATTGTGTGTGTGTCAGCTCACACAGTGAGGTCCGTGGTTCGAACCCCGGTATGGGTGGAAACACTGGGGACGTGTTTCCTTAAGACACCTGCTGTCCATGTTCACCTAGCAGTAAGTAGGTGCCTGGGTGTTAGGTGACTGGTGTGGGTGGCATCCTGGGGACAAAATTAACCTAAGTTTTGGGAAATGCTCTACATAACCAGAGACTTTCTATATACTATGTCATTGATGTCAGCTAGGGTCTGTATAAGTTGTATCATGTACTGCTAGAAAAAAAAAACATTTTATTATTATATTATTATTATTATTGCGAGGGGATTGGACTTCCAGCAGGCATGCGTGAGCGTGTTTGATAGGAGTGAATGGAGACAAATGGTTTTTAATACTTGATGTGCTGTTGGAGTGTGAGCAAAGTAACATTTATGAAGCGGTTCAGGGAAACTGGCAGGCCGGACTTGAGTCCTGGAGATGGGAAGTACAGTGCCTACACTCTGAAGGAGGGGTGTTAATGTTGCAGTTTAAAAACTGTAGTGTAAAGCACCCTTCTGGCAAGACAGTGATGGAGTGAATGATGGTGAAAGTTTTTCTTTTTCGGGCCACCCTGCCTTGGTGGGAATTGTCCAGTGTGATAATAAAAATAAAAAATATTATTATTATTATTATTATTATTATTATTATTATTGCCTCGCAAGACAAACACCATCTATACCGATGCATCTAAACTACATACTGTAAATACTGGTTAGTGGGAGAAACTCAAGACAAATAACAACCATGTGGTATTTGATTATAAAAATAATAACTATGTGAGGACCTTAACTGGAAGCTGACATATACAGATAATTCTTTCTAGTTTATGTCTCACTGAGTTTTTCGTCCCTCTTCCAGTCCTTATTTACTACCTAAGATTCCTGTAACCTAACATCAATTTGTTTCTCACGTCATATCAGGATATGTGTAATAACATTACAGTGTTGACATTAATAATAATAATAATGTTTATTTCTAGCAGTACATGATACAACTTATACATCAATGCTGACATCAGTGACATACTATATAGAAAGTCTCTGGTTATGTAGAGCATTTCCCACAACTTAGGTTAATTTTGTCCCCAGGATGCCACCCACACCAGTCACCTAACACCCAGGTACCTACTTACTGCTAGGTGAATAGTGACAGCAGGTATATTAAGGAAACACGTCCTAATGTTTCCACCCGTACTGGGGATCGAACCACGAAAATCAGTGTGTTAGTTGAGTGCGCTACCAACCCAGCTACGGGACATAAATACAATTAAACATTATCATACATAGTAACATGTGTACATTACCCAACTGTGACCCATGTAGGTTTAGCACTACCCTTTTAATTATAAAAATAATTGTACATCGCCCAGGATAACCCCAAAAAGTCAAAGTGACTTACGTCCATACTTTGTTACATGAGGGTGTGTAAAACCGCTGTCAGCCGGGGTATTATACTCACCATAACTCTGAATGTCAGTCTGGAATATATACCATTATTTTTAAAGAGGTGGAGGGGTAAGCCAGTGGAAGGCCTCGGTCAGATGACCAAAAGCTAAAAGCTCCAGTTGTTGGTTATCATATAACTGAGACCCGCGTCAGGAAACACTTGTCCTGTTTCCTGACAAACCTGACCTAACACAACCTAATCTTACCTCACCTCATCTTCAACCTATTTTTGTCCTTATATTGTATTGATAAAGTCAATGATAAAGGTACCCAGATGTTGTGTCTAATTTAACTTGACTATTATATACCATTGTTAAAATAAACTTGTTAAATAAGCAATGAGAAAGCGCTTTAAGAAGGTTGAGATGTGAGGAACAGTGACGAGGTGAGTCAGGGTGTCTTACACCTGGTCACACGTGGTGTCTTACACCTGGTCACACGTGGTGTCTTACACCTGGTTACACGTGGTGTCTTAAACCTGGTCACACGTGGTGTCTTACACCTGGTCACACGTGGTGTCTTACATCTGGTTACACGTGGTGTCTTAAACCTGGTCACACGTGGTGTCTTACACCTGGTCACACGTGGTGTCTTACATCTGGTTACACGTGGTATCTTAAACCTGGTCACACGTGGTGTCTTACACCTGGTCACACGTGGTGTCTTACATCTGGTTACACGTGGTGTCTTAAACCTAGTCACACGTGGTGTCTTACACCTGGTTACACATGGTGTCTTAAACCTGGTCACACGTGGTGTCTTACACCTGGTCCCACGTGGTGTCTTACACCTGGTTACACGTGGTGTCTTAAACCTGGTCACACGTGGTGTCTTACACC